AGACCTGGATAGGTTAGAGAAGTGGGCGGATCTGAACAGGATGCAGTTCAACAAGGACAAGCGCAGGGTGCTGCACCTGGGGAGAGGGAACCAGCATTATGGTTATAGGTTAGGGGCTGACCCTCTCGGCAGCACAGAGGCAGAGAGGGATCTTGGAGTCATGATTGACTCCAGGATGAATATGAGTCGCCAATGCAATGAAGCAATAGGCAGAGCCAACGGCACCCTGTCATGCATCAACAGGGGCATCACTAACAGGTCCAGAGAGGTCTTGCTCCCCCTCTAGGTGGCACTGGTCAAGCCACAGCTGGAGTACTGTGTCCAGTTCTGGATGTCGCACTTCAAGAGGGACATGGAGAACCTGGAGAGGGTCCAGAGGAGGGCCACTCATATGGTTGAGGGCCTCCATGGCCAGCCCTTTGAGAAGAGGCTGAGGGACCTGAATCTCTTCAGTCTCCGCAAGAGGAGACTGAGGGGGGATCTTGTGGCTGCCTACAACCTTATCAGGGGCCACCAGCAGGGACTCGGGGAAAGTCTGTTCACCAGGGCCCCCCTTGGAGTCACCAGGAACAATGGCCACAAGCTGGGGGAGGATAGGTTTAGGTTAGATATTAGGAAGAACTACTTCACTGTAAGGGTGGCCAGAGCCTGGAATAGGCTTCCCAGAGAGATGGTGCTCCCACCTTCCCTGGAAATCTTCAAGAGGAGACTGGATAGGCACCTGGCTGGGGTCTTATGACCCCTGCCACCCCAGTGCTCATTCCTGCCCATGGCAGGGGGTCGGACTCGATGATCTGTCTAGGTCCCTTCCAACTCTATGATTCTATGATCATCCCATGACTCTGTCTCATGACCTGCCCCAGCCCCAGCCCCAGGGTCCCATTCACCTCAGCCCTACCCCTGCCTCTGCCTCACTCCCTCCCTCACTGTGGGGGTCTTAATCTGCCCTTTCCCTTTCCTCCTGCCCCTCCCTCTCCACAGACTTACTGGCTCGGGGCTACTCTATATGCAGCCTGCAGGCTGTGGCTGCTCATGTGTGTCTGTGTGCAGACACCTCACCTCACCCAGCTCCCCCCCAGCTGCAGCTACCAGGAGCCTGTGCCCAAGCTGCCCTGCAGTCCCCTGTGCTGCCACTGCTGTCTGCAGGGCAGCTCAGAAGCAGTGGAGTGAAGCCTGGGCACAGGCTCCAGAACCACATATGTAATTAACTGTGATTAAAAAAATAATGCAAGAACTGATTACCGTGTTAATTGGGCACATTAACTGTGATTACACCAATTTCTAATCTATGAGTGGACCTTCCCTGCAATCCCATGACTACGTATTTTAATTTAAAGCCTCCAAAGACAGACCCTGTCAAAGCCTTTTTGTAAGTCCAGATATACTATGTCAGCTGGATCACTCTGCTTATTGACACCCTCCAAGTAGGTTGATGACTGAGGCATGATTTCCCTTTGACAAAGCTATGTTGATTCCTCCCCAGGAAGTTATATTAATCCATGTGCTGAACACTAGGGTTTTTTTTACTGTTGTTTCTCTAGTTTTCTAGGAACAGAAGTTAGACTCACCATCCTGTAGTTTCCTGGGTCCTGTCTAGAGCATTTTTTAAATATGGGAGTCACATTGGCAACACTCCAGTCCTCTGGTACTGAGGAAGTTTTCAATGATAGGTTGCATACTTCAGTCAGGAGTTTGTCAATTTCCACTCAGAGCACCTTCAGGACACTAAGATGAGTGTCATTTTGTCATGATTGTCTGAATATAAGAGTTTAGAAAAAGGAACTAGGGAAGAATCAGAGGCAGCACTATCAGTCAAAACAACAGCTACCAGGCTGGGGAACCTCTGCTGGGAAGCCTATCCCCACAAGGACCTAGGGCCAGCCTATGGATGGCTCCAAGATGGCCTGTGCCTAGGGCTGGCCCATGCCTGGAGCCACCTGTACACAGAGCCAGAAGGGGCACCACTGAGTCACCACTGCCATAGTCTTCTCCAGACTCCACACAACATGAATGATGTGGATTCACCAAGGCCAAGTCATGCCTGACCAACCTCATTGCCTTCTATGACAAGATGGCTGATTCTGTGAATGCAAGGCATATCTTGACTTTAGCAAGGCTTTTGATATGGTCTCTGTGTTGCCCCCACAATGGGGAATCCCTGACCACAGAGTTTCATTTGGTACCAGCTTGGGCATTGCTTATTTGAACAAGTGTCCCTGTGGTGCCTTTGAGACCTAGCAGTTGGGAGAAGTTATTCAATAACAGGGGATGGAGGAGGCTTCTGCTCTGGGCACATTTGGTTTGAGTCACTGTCCATTTTCTGGTTCCTATCTCCTCAGCCTTGCTCAGAGCCCCCAGTGTCTCCTGCATCCCCACACAGACCTCTCTTTGAGAGGAGCAGCCCATGTGTGTCTTCCCAAGAGATACCCCTTTGCCCAGGGTGCCACTCCTTAGCAGGTTTCTTTATTTTGAATCTTGTTTTATAAAGAGCCTCTTTAGCCTACATGCTTTTCTTATTCTCTGTCCTTAGCTTCGTGTTCAGGAATCAACTGAATCCTCCCACTGGTGCCATTTCCCCCACACTGACTTCTTCACTGGTGTCCCTCGTACATGCGCTGTTTCTCTATATATTCACTGGTGCTCCTCATTTAATTGCACCCAAGTGGCCCTGGGCTCTGGCTGCAGCATCTATCTGTCCCACCCCACTCTCCTGTGGCAGACAGCCAGGACAGCACCTGAGATTTCATGTACAGAAGGAGCTCACACATGTGTCTCTTTCTAATACCATCATTTTATTCTTAATATTTTAAGGGCTTACTCGACTCTGCGTTCAACCCCACGTCCAAAAAAATAATGAGTATATAAAATAATGAGCCAATAAAAACAAGTAAAACCATAACCCCTAATATCCACTGCATCCCCACACAGACCTGTCTTTGAGAGGAGCAGCCCATGTGTGTCTCCCCAAGAGATGCAACCCTCTGGAGTCTTCAGTTCCCCTCTCTCTCAAGCTGGCAAAGGGTGTCTTTTCCTTTCCACATTTGCATTATCCCACAGATGTTTTCCTCAGGGGAGTGCTTGGCCCTTTTCTCTGAGCCATGCCCTCCCACTTTCTCCCCAGAGTTGCCCATGCTTAGCAGGGTGGCACTCTTCTCCTTTTCTCCCCTATGCCACTTGCCCTGCCCCACTTGACTGCTCCCACTCAGCGGCAGCTGTGCACTTCCACCAGGTGCCGACACTGCTTGCACTTCACAGAGCAGCACCAGCGAAACTTGCAGCTGCACCTCTCCACCACCTCGGCCTGGGCTGTGCGGAAGCCTCGCCCACAGCACAGCAACTCACAGCCATCCATGGCATGGGATGTTCGGTTACACTGGCGTTCAGAGGTGCCAAAAACCCCACGGTGGGGATCCCAGTTGCAGAAGTCTGGGCTGGCCACCAAGTAGACCAGGTCATGAGCTGTGTAGGGTTTGAAACGGGAGCTCTTGGGCACCAGAAGCTTGCGTGAACCAACTCGTTTTGGGTGCACCTCAGTTGCCCCCTCAAATTTCTCCTTCAAGACATTGCCCACCTTGCGAAATGGGGGCATCACTTTCCAGCAGGTACGCACTTCACAGGAGCCTGATACCCCATGACACTTGCACTCCACCTTCATGTGGGACAGGATGGCCTGACAAGAAGATGGCAACTTTCAGAAAAGGCAGGAGGCCTTGCTAAGCTTCTCTCTGCCCCACACCGCCTGCCCAGGCATGGAGAAGGGGACCTGAGTCACAGTGGACCTTCCCCCTTCCCAGGACAACAGCTTGTGGGAAGGAGGTGTGACAAAAGGCCAAGGAAAACAGCCTGCCAGCTATGTGTGTCAGGAGAGACCCTTCACTCAGGGATGAGAAAAATACTTGCTGCAGAGGTAATTGCTCCACTCATCGGCTGAAGGGTTCCCTTCACACTAACTGAAAGGGATCCATCCTCAGCCAGGTGAGAGAGGAGGTGCTGCAAGGTATAATAAAGATCTATTCACAGAAAGTTGTGTGCAAAGGGGAAAGGGATCCACCCTGAGGGAAACAGGCGGGCTCTGATTTGTCAAAGGGATCTACTGTACTCAAGTGGGAGAGGAAAGGGTATCCACTCTGACATGAAGGAACAGAGCAGGAGTCATTCAGCAAGATGGGGTGTGCAGGACCCACCCTCAAGGCTGTGGCTAATGAAAGTCATATGTTTATTCAGAAACAGACAGAGGGATGGGGAGCCACTGAGAGCAGAGTGAGGGAAAATGTTTCATGTTACAGAAGCTGATCCACTTCTAGCTTGTAGCAGGGCAAAGAAACTATTCTGCAGTGAGTGGGGAACTAGAGATCACCCCAAAGTCTATACAGAACATGCTTTTCTTGGAGGTTGACGAACACCCTGGGGGAAAAGCCCAGAGAAGTGGATCTGCTCAGAGGGGTCGGGCTCTCCTGGGGCAGTTGGTGGACAAAGGGAGTGGGGATAGGGCTGGGGTCTGATACTGGGGGAAGGTCCTCAACATATGGATGTTTTCTCTAGCACTTAATGTTGGCCTCACCTTCCTACCAGCCTCATTGTTGTGCAGATTCATGAGAACTCGACTGGAGGAGATGCCACGGCTCCGCTCTGGGTTATCCACGAAGGCTTGAGAAAAGGCAATTCCATAGGACAAGTTATCAGAACAGCCTGACCACTGGAACCCTAGGGCAGAGAGACATGTTGATGAGATAGCGCAGCAGTGGCCCATTCATTTGGCCCTGTGGGCTGGATCCAGACTGCAAGGCTCCTCACAGGCTAGATAGCCTACCTCTGTTGGCACAGTGCTGGAAACAGAGGGTGGCCAATACCACTGCTCACCCCTTCTTTTCCCTTCCCACTGATTTGCATCACCACTGGTTACTAAAGGCCCTGAATTTGGCAGTGGGGAAGGGGTGGGAGTGATGGGTTCCCCTGGGTTCCAGAACCATGCCAACAAGCCCTGTGGGCCACTTGCTGGCCATACACAGGTTGCCAGTTGGGCAGCCCTGAAGTAGAGATATGGAGCTACTCCAGACTGAGGGAGTGGGGATGAAGGAAGGGATGCAGAAAAGGACACTCATTCCCTTAAAGCAGGGAAAAGATTATACAATCTGCTGGTCTGCTCCTGTCACCAGTCTCCTTGTACTGGACCATCCCAGGGGTATGCAGAGGCATTATTTTCCACCCCTGTTCATTTTCCTCTCTGGCATTGTCCCCTTTGCAGAGGTGTGTAGGGAGATGTGTTCTGAACATAAGAACTGCCATTGACTGGGTCAGACCAGAGGTCCATCTTGCCCAGACTCTTGCGTCACTCGGGGCATAGAGTGGATGCTAGAAGAGAGATTGAACAGGTGATGAAAACTAAGTGTTTTTCCACTTTTGCTCTCTCTCTTGCAGCCTCTGGCATTCTGCCCTTCTCTCCTTATATCAGTGTTTCTCAAACTTCTGATACCCAGGGCACACCTTTTTCTGTATTAGCACTGACACCACACTTCACTCTTACACCCGAAAAGGGAAGCAGGGAAAAGCGGGGCAGTGGCGGGACAAACACAATTTACAGTGGTCCAGTCCTAGTGCTGCAGCCAGGGAGCAGAAGTTGGGATAAGTGGCAGCAATGCAGGCACAGAGAAAGCCCTCCTTGGAGAACGTGGTGTCAGGCCAAGCTGGGGCAGCAGCTGGGGAGTTGTAAAAAATTCTGTGTTGTTCCAGGAAGCTGTAGGTCACAGGCATGGCTGAGGCAGCATGGGGTACAAAGGGACATTTTCTGGCAAGGTGTCCCTGAAATTCTGTATGGTGGGAGTGAGGGCTGAGTGCAGTGGTGGCCTTGGGCAAACAAGTTGGGGCCCTGGGCAAAAGAGTCATTTGGGGCCCCTTAGAGGCTTAATTTTGATGACCTATAAGCAAGTCAGACATTTTAAATTTCAGTTTCACTTTGCCCTATCCAGTCAACTGCAATGAAAGTATCTTAATACAATATTGATGTGTAATTTGGCCCCCTAAAGTGTGTGCCCCGGGCAGTGAACCAGTTTGCCCTCCCCTAAAGCCGCTACTGCTGAGCAAGAGGGCTCCAGGCTTGTTTGGCTGGACCTGGGAGTGGAAGGGAGGGGGAGATCCACACCTACCTGCCCAGTGTGGGTGGGGGACATGGTATGCATGCAGAGCAGGGTGCAGCACTGAGCCCCCAGGTGCACAGCACAGCCATGTCCCCCAGTGTACAGGCAGGACGCAACAGCAGAAGTTGGCTGATGTTTGGTCCCAGTGCCACTGCCACTTCTGCCAGGCCCTGCTCTGCAGCTGCAGCATGCATGCAGCTTCCAGCTACTAGGGAGCTGCACGCCTTGGGATGCATGGGACTGGATGTCTGCACAAGTATTGGGATGGATGTCTGCACACTACTGCGACTCACCTTGCCTGTACCCGGGGACACAGCTGTGCTGCATTCTGCTGCAGACTGCTCTGCTGCTTGTCTTGCACACACACTACCCTGCACACACACATGCACTGCTTTGCACACAAGCTGCTCTGCACACACAGATTGTCCTGTGCTCATTCTGCCCTGTACATACACTGCTCTGCACGTGCACATGCTGTCTTGCACACACACTGCTTTGCACACATGTTGCTCTGCATATACACATGCTGCTCTACATACACACCACTCTGCACACAGCTGGTGCACCCCAGTTTAAAACACAGAAAAAAAGAAGAAAGAAAAGCATAATTTTTGGCAGCACACTTCTGTTGCTGTCACAGCACAGTAGTGCACCATGGCACGCCCATTTGGAATTACTGCCTTATGCATTGCTCTCCTGCTAATGGGGGAGTTTCCTCCTCCAGCCACAGCCCTTCTTCCTCCATTACCTTCAGGGCTGATCCCTCGGATCCTGCGGTCACATCCACACTTCTCCAGCTCCCCACGACTGCAGGCCCGAGTGATGGCAAATGCTACTCCCGCAGAGGAGATGGCATGAACAAAAGCAGATTCTCTTGTCCCTGCAGCAGGGGGAGAAGCAGGCTTTTAAAGGCAGGGGTTTCTCCAGGTTTTTTTAATGATTTTTTTCCCCTTCAGATCCTTTACTAGTGGAGGAAATGCTGCACTGCTATTGGAGTTAGATACCCAGAGGCAGTGTGAGACACAGGCTGTGTAACATTGCTGTGTCTCCCTGCAGGTATAAGAACAAGTCATTCAAAGGGGGATTGAACTGGGCAAGCCATTAAAGGGTGTTTTGCTGCATCCCTAGAAGTCTCAAGTTCTGGAGATGAGGAGGATGGGCCCTCTGGGTTGGGTATTCAGGAGGCTCTGTCTGTCAGGCTGCACTCCCCTCTGGGCCCCGCCACTCCTGACAGGGAGGGAACACTTGGCACTTGTTGGAGAGGGAAATTTTTGTGGGGTGCAACCTCACAGGTGGAGAAGGGAGTGCAACTGACCCAAGGGGAAGGAGCTCATAGGTCAGGCTCCCCAGTGATTCTGGAGACACTCCACCACAAGGGAAAGGCCTGAAGCCCCAGCATCCAGGGTTCTGAGAGCTAAGCACCAGAGAGTACAGTCCTATTCTGGGTCCCAGGAAAGAAGTATGGGACTTCTGTGTCTAATGTATTAGCAAGCACTTCTGTGTTATTGTGGGAACACAGGCAGATTCCTTTCTGATGTTGAGTAAAGAAGAGCTTTAACTTCTTGGGGAAAAGGAAAACACCTAGGAGCTGACTAGGTACTACCTATTCAATTTCCAAGGTGTCTAGCATGCTTTCACATCTTACTCTACTAACACAAGGATGCTCCCCATGAGTTTGGCTGAATGTCTTGGAGAGCAGAAGGGTTACTGGGTTGCATGGGCAATAGCAACAATAGTCCTGGTGAGCATTAGGGCTCAATTTTGACATAGGTTTAGCCCAACAGTTACTGTTAGTACGCACACTGATTTAGTTTTGCATATAAGTAGAACTAGGGTAAATGTGTTAAAGTGAGAGTTGAGATGTAAGAGTTAGCCTTAATGTGCTCATTAGGGCTGTGTTTGATGTTAGGCAAGCAGTTGGGCAGAGCAGCCAAATATTCAATATTTACTGCTCCTCATGAGCTTCTTTCTTGACTTCTGACCTTGCATGGCGACCTTGCCAAAGACCTGCAGGCCCTGGAGAGTAGAGCAGTTCCAGCGGCGGTTCTGGAACTGGTGTTGACACTCGTCTACGGCCAGCTCTGCTCCCCGCTTCACTGAGTCCATGGCCTCTGCTTGCAGCTGGCATATCCGTACCTGTTCCTCTGTAAGGCCCTTCAAACCCTCACAGGCACTAGGATCTCGTAGGACCCCACGCAAGGAGGGTTGCTTTGCCAGGTACCTGTGGAGCAGGGTAGAACCGTGCTCAGAGGTGGGGAAAGACTTGGGTGAATAGCCCATGCAGTGGGAGCCACCTTTGTTACCTCACTTCTGTCATGGGAGAAACTATTGAAATGCCCAGAGACCTACTTTTCTTTGTGGAATAACATTTCTGACCCTCCCCAAGGATTGAGCAACTTCTCTCTCTTTGTCTTTTCCTGACTCCCTCTCCTTGGGACCCCTAACAGACACCCCAAACTGACCCCTTTGGGGTGGTGAGCTCTCCTACTTATGTATTCAAGAACCCCTCTAAGTACCTTCTTTGGAATGTGTCCCCCACGCTCGCTTCCCTGTGGGACCTGCCATAGCCACTTGGTTGGGGAATGGGGCCCTGACCCCTCCCTAGGGGCTTCTTCAGATGGGACCATTCCAGACCACAGGATACTTACAGCCAGGTCACAGCAAGGACATGCTGTACTGGAATCAGCAACGTATACAGCTGGACAATCTCCATCTTGTCACCGAAGGAATCTTATCCACAGCCCTTCTGCTGGGCTGTTCAGATCCCTTTCCCTCCCCTGGCAGCTCCAGAAGGTCACTCCCAGGGCAATCCTCTTCCAGCACAGAGGAGAGCAAGTACCCCAGTTCTTCACAACTGTCATGAGCTGCTGCTGGGTGCCTGTCAGCACAAGACCCCCAGGACATGAAGAAATCTTCCAGTTAGTACTGCATGGGCATCCCCTTGTCAGGCATAGCAGGCAGATCCAGGGCAAAGGGCCTCACCAAGGGGTTCACAGGGAGAGTGCAGCATAAATGGCTGGCAGGCACTGCCCCTTCAGCTCGGTGTACAGATTCGTTATGTCCACAGCTGGGGCGGATGCTTTCAGCCTCCCTCTCTTTCTGCTTTTCCCTCCAGGCAGTCAGTGCTTCTTGACTCCCCCAATAAATTGCACTGTCCACAAGGCAGCAGGAAGCAAAGCCAACTAGCACTGGTGACCCTCGTGGTGCCAGCCCGCTGTCAGGTGATGATTCAGTTTCCCATCAATTCTTCCTCCCACCAGTCACTTTGGGGAAGCAAGGAGTGTCCCAGGGCTGGTTCCCAGGAGTAGAGAGCTGAAGGGAGCAAGTGTCTGCCTGGGCTGCCCTTATCCCCAGACGCCTTCCTTGGTGACTCTCTTGTCTGGCTCCTCTGTGATACAGATTCCTCTTTTCTAGCCTGCAACCCTCATAGCTACAGCAAACAGACACAGCCCAAGCTGCTGCTTCCAGGATCCCTTAACTCTTTCCCCGGCAGCTCACTCCCACTCCAACGTCTGCTGGTGAAGGGACAGCTCCAGGCACAGGGACAGCATCTTAATCTGGGTGGCAGTTTGGGTAGATATGGGTAGATATGCTGTCTCCCCCAAAAAAAACAGCCTTGGGGAGCTCCCAGGAGTACAGGCAAGTTTAATTCTTGTGTGCTGGGGCCTGGAGATCTGGAGCAAAAGGATTTCCTCTGAACAGGACTGGGAAACCCTGACCCTCCTGGAGGACTGGAGAGCCTCCTTGTCTAGCTGATCCCAACAGACAACACATCGACCCTCACACATGTGCAGGGTACAAATCACATAGAAAAGAAAGTGCTGCCACATGGTCTTTGCTATGTTTATTTCATGTCTTGTGTGAGTTAGCCCCTTTGTCACAGGCTTTACAGATTTTGCCTTCAGTATGGATTCCTTCTGTAGCATTCTGCATGATGGGCTCTTCCTCCTGCTCCCTCTTGGCTCCAGCTGTTGGCCCATTTCTCTGCTTGTCTTGTAGTCTCCCTCTCCCTCCCTATCTAGCCATACTTGATTTTATCACCTACTTTTTGTGGAGACTGAACTCCTAGGCAGGAGACGTGTTGGGATCTGCAGCACCAGGGTGTAACCATGGACACACCCCCAGCAATCTGGTATTACCTGCTGTCGACTCAGGCGGGGGGCGAGGAAATGCAGGCAGCTGCTTCTTCCTGGCGGGCTGAGATGAGATGATACAGTTTAGCGGCAAACCTTGGGGCTTTCTGCCCCAATCTGGGATGGCGAATGACAGCTCGTGGGCTACAGTGCCAGGAATCCAGAGAGGTGGGTAAAACTGGTCTGAGATGGGACACCTGAAGACCACAGGGAACCCCTTAGGTGCCAGAATGAGAGCCCCACAGAACCCCTGGCCTAGAGTACCCATGGCAGAACCAGAGATGCTGGGCTGAGCTGTGATAAGGGATGTTGGTTCCCATCAAGGGAGAGACAACTCTCTGTGCTCCGTAATGGGAGAAGTGTTTCAGTAAGATTTTAATAGGGCTGGAGTCTCAGTGGGAATTCAACAGGCACTAAAAGTTGTAAGAACAAAGATCCCAGCAACAAGGAAACAGGAAAGGGGTTTGGCTCAGAAAGACAAGTACTAAAATGAAGTTGGATGAGATCAGTGGCTGGGGTGCCATTGTATCCTCTCAGGATTTATGAGCAGCAGAGACATATATTCCCTGGCATGTCACCCACTGAATGAAGAGGCAGTGACGGTAAAACAAGGGACATACAGAGTGAGAAAGACAAACATGAGGAGGAACATCTAACAGGCAGAGGAGCTGGACAGGGGTTGCAGAGAAAGAGGCCAGGTGGCGAGGAGCCTTCAGGGCAAAGTGTAGGTGATGGGAGCTTCTGCCCAGCCCCAACAGAGGGTGCTATCACCAGGACAGGAGGTAGCAAGTGCTCAGTGAGGGAAATAACAGCACAGGGCTGATAGTGTAGCATGAGAATGTCTCGCTGACAGCAAACATCCCTCTGAAGTGGGGCACAGGGGAGGAGGGACATTGGCCATGTCAAAAATAAGGTCAGAGTGCTCAAAAAGGATCAGGATAGCCAGAGACACAGGGGCAGAGACCTCCCCTGTGCTCCCTTGCCTTGCTAGTTCCTGCTAACTCAGCCCTCGAGCACCATATTTTGCTCCACCTGCATTCTGAAACTGATTTGCTTTTGCTCTTCCCTCTTCAGCTCTGATCCACTCTGTCCCAAGTCACGGCTTCCCTCTCTGCCCCCATGTGTCATGTTTTACATTCTCCTCTTCAGGCCCTTCTTTCTCCAGGGAGGCACTTGTGACTTTCATTCCTACGGCATTCAGTCACTAGTGTCTGAGGGGCTGACCAGACTCTCTGGAGGGGAGAACTCTTGTACCACTGTTGCTGCTAATGATTAATATCATCTCTATTTCTTATTTCCCTTTCATTCTTCAATTTAATCTCCTCCCCTCCCCCCAGCTGAAAATATTCAGTCAGGTGATTTCTTTCTATGGTCACATGTGGCACAGGGGATGTGAGTACAGCAAAGTGGGGAGCAGATGCACAGGTACTGTTCTGTTCATTCTCACAGTGCACAATCCACTTGCAATCTTGACTGAGTTTTACTTCCCTTTCACAACTGTGTTTACTTTCATAAAATCCTAGCTCAGCGTATCAGCTTCTGACAGCAAAGTTCACATGCAGTAACCAACCCAGAGGAACATCAGGAAGAAAGCGAATGAGGAGGAAAGATGAAATGGTGACAGAAAAAACAGCCACCCAGAAAGATGCGAGTCTGTGGTCTGTTATGACTTGGATGGGCAGGTGTAGGCATCAGCTCTCCAATCCACGCCGATATTTATTTCTGAGTTGAAGGCTCACTAGCAGTGTGATCAAGAGCACTTCTACACCCCAGCTCCTTGCAAGGAGAGAGGTAAGGAGACAGAAAGCAGCTAGAGAGGCAGGGGAAAGGAAATACTGGATGGTAAGCTGCTGAATGTGATCTTGTATGTATATGTAACCAGACATTGTTTTTGAGGCCTGTGAATACCATGAGCCTCTCTCAGGTTGGTTGGGGGCCTGGAAATCAAAGCTTTTTGTTTCAACTCAGGGGCCTAAAAACATGAGTCTTAGAAAAGAAAACTGCATAATGTAACTGATGCATAGGTCAGGGTGCCAGCGCAGAAGGTTCATCGCTAAGCGTCCCTCAGGGCAGCAGATGATTCACAGCCCACTTCAGGACACCAGGAGTGGCAGTTTTACTCACTTTAACATATAGCTTTTGAAGTATCACCCTGATAAAACTTTATGACCAAAGCATGAATTCACCCAAACAAATGTTTTAA